ACCCCCCCCCCCCCCCTCGCAAGACCAAAAGCGCCCCTGGCCCCGCCCCTTCCGACCCCATCTGGAGGGCGCCACTTAGAGGTCGTAATATGTACATATTTCTTCACCTTCCTTCATTAATTTGTTTCAATCTGTGGTGCTTTTTTCATTGCACTTATAGTAATACTAATAGCCCTTCCTTGTGTCGACGAGTTTTTCTTTAACTTTAACTATTCAAAGTGGCGTCGGTAGTCAAATGGTCCGGCTACTAAACTATCTCGTAATCGTGAGATTGCAGGTTCCGGGATTAGCTATCTTATAGGCTTCTCTCCGTCCTGCATTGTGTCTTTGTAAGTAAAAGGTACTTTTCACGAATTTGCCTATTTTAAAAGCTCGCTCCTTTCGGAGATAGACGTTATTTTTGGAGGTCCGTCTTCTTTCGTTGCCTTTCAGTGCTGCAAGTGACGTTAAGACTTAAACATAATAATATAGGCCTACATATTCGCAGTTTCTTTACCTGTATTTGATCGACCAAATTCTGCTAGGGCTAATTATTTCTCAAGCAAAAGAAAAAAAGAAAAAAAAGAAACACAGACAACCACACAAACCGGATTTAAGGAGGACAGGAGAGTGTGGAGGCCTGACATTGATGACGCAAACAACTTCACCTCAAACGAAGGTCATTGTCGTCGTTCCGTGTTCGAGAGACCCGTCTGTACTTTTTTTTTTTAAGGGGGGGGGGGGGGGTAAGTCAGTGTTTTACGGCGCTCGCAACTGCATAAGGTCATATGAGCGCGCGGGACACACCAAACATTTTCAATTTTTATGACAGTTTGAATTTTGCCCGTGTGGCGGCTGAAGCCTACTCTTATCGATTTTGGACCACCAAGTGATCTTTAACTTAAACGTGCGCAACTTGCACACGGGACCTCCGAGATTTTTCGCCCATGTCCGAGAAGGCTAGAGTGTAGATCTTTCCTACCAAAAGATCAGAGGTGTGGCTGAAGTGAAATACAGCAGTAAAAAGGAGCCAAGAAGTAGCAGTAGAAAGGCTAGAGAAAAAGTCAGGAGTCCAGTGGAGGGGGCAAAGGAAGTGGGGGGTGGGGGCAGAAAATGGAGACGAAAGCAGACGACAGAATATTGCCGGAGAGAAGGACAGAAGGTGAAAGGAGAATTTTAGAGGGGGAAATCTTTCCGTCACTACTCGGATTCGAACCCGGGACCTTTGAATGAGAGGCGAACACCTAACCTATAGGCCACGAGAGCCCCCCTCGCTATACCGTACGTCTTTTGCGAGGCTGGCCTTGCTATCACTGTGTGAATTTCTCCAGCAAAGTGATCTGACCCACTCTTATTTTTTTCTTCTAATAGTAATAGTCATTATTGTGACTATGACAAGTCCCTTTCGAGATAGCTTACGCAGTATTCGTTGGTCCACTCTATCCTGCATACGCAAGCCCTCTTCTTATTTAGGTCAACACTACCATCTCTCCTCACCACCCCCTATCCTCTCTCTCTCTCTCTCTCTCTCTCTCTCTCTCTCTCTCTCTCTCTCTCTCTCTCTCTCTCTCTCTCTCTCTCTCTCTCTCTCTCTCTCTCTCTCTCTCTCTCTCACACACACACACAGAATATATTTATCAAATTACATACCTCATAATCAACAAATAAACGACACTATGTTTTAGGCCTACATTAAAATTTAATGTATTTGAAGAAGAAATATACTTCTTATCAATGCGAGCGCAAAGTGAGTACGGCAGTCGATTGATATCTTCTGTATAAAATGTAAATAATTCAATATAAATTTTAAAGTATTAAAACACTGAACCTACGTAAGCGAAACCAGTATTTATTATGTGTACAAGGTCTGTATTACGACTCTGCCCTCGAAGCAATTGTATATAATATATAAACATGTAGTATAGACTACCAATTTGCACGTCAACAGGATGTGGAAAGACGTAGGATAGTCCGCGCTACAATAGCAACAAAAATAACACATGTTTTGTTTGTCTCCAACCTTGCGGCATGGGCGATATCATAGTATTCATTCATAGCCATATTAAGTACACGAAAATGATATAGAACTAAGCGGAGATCGCAAGCCTGATACAAAAAAAAAGAAAGAAAAGAGGAGGAAATAAGGGGATTTGTGAGGGGGGGGGGGGGGGGGCGGGGAAACCAACGCCCGCGCAATGTTGTTTTTTATTTAGAAGGAGAGGCCCCCCCATTTTTTTTTTTTGAGGGGGGGGGGGGTATTTTTAAGAGGGAGGGCCAAAAAAAAGAGAAGAAAGCCCGGCGCCGCGATATTTTTTTTTTCAACATATTAGTGGTGGCTG